GACCTTGAGCCGGTGAGATTTGAACCGCTGAACTGCAGATCACAGTCAGCTAAAGTGGCCTGCAGTATACGGCACCCTAACCACTGCGCCACCTCGGCTCTTCACTAGACAGTGAAAAACAGAAAGGTGGGCAAATCCCTGGTAGTAGGAGTATAATTGGATTAATGTGTGTCCCAAATTGGGCAGCACCAGTAATATTAAGGAAGGACATCTTTTCAAAAAAGCTCCCCTCCTTCTTTTCTTCTTTTTTTTTTCAGTTCTAAACACACAGAGTGACTCACTTTTTTGATGTGGACAAACTGGCGAATGTCCATGTCGTCATCTCTGTTCTTGACGTCCGGCCGAACGGTCTGAACCACCTGGCAGACCACTGGCACAATTATATCACGCCAGGAGAGGGACAATGCTTCATTGTATAGCAGCTGTTGAAGGAGAGCCATCATGTGGTTATGATTAGCAGAGCTGCAGATAAACATGATAAAGGTTCAAGAGAGAGAGAGAGAGAGAGAGCAGAGCTACAGTCATTATAGATATTGGAGCGGATTCGGTACAAATACGTGTACTTTTTGTCTAGAAGTGAACTTCAGGTGTCAATTGCAAATGCAAATCACAACACAATTATCTGATATAGTATCTTTTATTTGGTTTGCTATAGCAGGATTAGATATCGCTGTAGCAGCAGATGCATTGTTCCCCATTCTGAGCACCCAAAGCCTCCGCAGCGCCCGCAAAGCCATCCAGGGTGTCCAGGGTGATGGACATACGGGGAGCAGGCCCAAGTGCTGTGGAACCCTGGTGGAGTGGGGTGGGGGGAGAGGTGGGGGCACTGCAGTGTACCTGTGGTCTGTGATAAGAGTGAATGACTGCGGCGGAACTGCAGCCATCACGACTTTGAAATGGGGTTGTATGTAATTTTTGGTGTTCTGTTGTAAGTTTGAACAGCCATTAATGATCAGTCTAATCTTAAGGACTATCTGTACTATCTTTTTTGGAGGATCAAAAGTTGGAGTCAGGGGAGAAAGTCGACTAAAGTCTGTACATTTTCTCACTCTTAGCGAAGCAATCCATTTCATTATTTACCACTTTTCTCTTTCTTAATGAGAAACGTTTTTAGTCTGACATAGAAAAGTTCTCAATATATGAAACAAAATTTAGAAAATGTATTTAGTATTAAACTCTTTTCAGCCCTTATACATTACAGAAATTAAGAACAGATTTCCTGTTTTCTATTTCTTACTCAATGTATAATAATTTTCTGTAAATTGGTGCCACTAGGGGGCCATAGTCACTATGCTCAAAAGTTAAAATATTTTCCAGGTTTCATTCATTTTCACTCAACTTACAGCAACCTCTCCATGGCTTGTTTTTCCCCATTCTCCTCCCTCAGCAGATCCAGATTGCTGTGATGCCAGCCTAGCGGTGTGAAGAAAAGGTCTTTGGATTTTTCTTCAACCCTCCGGTTAAAAAGTGACTCTAAAAACAAACAAAAATATAGATGGAATTGCATATTTGCAAATTAATTTGTGCACTAAATACAGATTATAACTTCATTGTCAGGGTTCCGACCAATGCCCTAGTAAACTCATAACTTGTATAGTTTAGCACAGATCTACACCCTGAAGGCAAAACATAGTTATGGGAAGGATTATTGGAAAAATTGCTATACTCTGCAGTCAGCTAAAGACTAAAGAATACTTCTCCTAGGAGGCGGGGCTGGCGTTGTGACGGTAGGACGTGCAATCTTGAAGCTCCAAGATCGCCGTTGATATCTCTGCCGCTGGATGGTCCTTTTGGACCTAAACTGTCCTGTAGAGACAGTGATAGAGAAGGGCACATCCTGCTGATCCCAGGGACATCGCAAAGTCCCTGGTAGATCCAGGAGAAGCCCTTTTTTTCCGGCAACAGAGAAGCAGCCATTAAAGCCGCTGAAAGTTGGGACAGCTCCAGAACGGAAGGAAAGCTGGAGAGAAAGTGTGTCAAATTGATGAGATAATTTTTATTATTAGATGAGAGAACACCCTAAAAGATTAAAAGTAAAGTTAAAACTGAAGACAGAAGAGGTCAAGCGGCGAGAGTAAGCCTGAGTCAAACTTAGTGTTATTTTTCTTTAATCCTTTTATTGCTGGAATTTTTACAAACGCTTCTTATTTTTTAAATTGGACTGGTTTTTTTCTTTTTATTTTTTTTAATACTTATTAAGACTT